AGGAGTGAGGGTGGGGCCGCCTGCCGTGGGGCCGGGGAAGGGGGGCGGAGGGGCAGGGGATGGGGCGTGGGGCGCTGAGGTTGTCCCTTTCCCCTGCGCAGTGGGCGGCCGCGTGGACTTCGAGGACTTCGTACAGATGATGGGGCCGAAGTTGAGGGAGGAGACGGCCCACATGGTGGGCGTGAGGGAGCTCAAGATCGCCTTTCGGGAGGTATGGCCACCGCCACAGGGGACCACGGCCACGGGGGGTCCACAGCCGCAAGGGGGACCACAGGCATGGAGGGGACAGTGACCATAGGAAGACCATGGGGAGAACATGAACATGGGGAAGTGGTGACCATGGGGGTGGCCACAGGCATGGAGGGGGACAATGACCATGTGAACACTGTGGTAACGATGGCCACAGGGGTGACCACAGCCATATTGTGACCACAAGCACAGAGAGGACAGCAACCCTGGAAAGACCATGGGGGGACAATGACCATGGGGTTGACCACAAGCACGAAGGGGACAGTAACCATGGGAAGACCATGGGGTGACCATGACCATAGGGAAATGGTGACCATGGGGGTGACTGCGGGCATGGCGATTAGATAGTGACCATGGGAAGACCATGGGGAGACGATGTGGGGACTGGAGACCATGGGGGTGACCACAGGCATGGAGGGGATGATGACCATGGGAAGACCATGGGAGGACGGTGACCATGGGGGTGACCACAGGCATGGAGGGGATGATGACCATGGGGGAAACGGTGACCATGGGGGTGACCACAGGCATGGAGGGGATGGTGGCCATGGGAAGAACATGGGGGGATGGTGACCATGGGGGTGACCACAGGCATGGAGGGGATGATGACCATGGGAAGACCATGGAGGGATGGTGACCATGGGGGTGACCACAGGCATGGAGGGGATGATGACCATGGGAAGACCATGGGAGGACGGTGACCATGGGGGTGACCACAGGCATGGAGGGGATGATGACCATGGGAAGACCATGGAGGGATGGTGACCATGGGGGTGACCACAGGCATGGAGGGGATGATGACCATGGGGGAAATGGTGACCATGGGGGTGACCACAGGCATGGAGGGGATGATGATCACGGGAAGACCATGGGGGGACGGTGACCGTGGGGGTGACTACAGGCACGGATGGGATTGTGACCACAGGAAGACCAGGGGGTGGCCGTGGTCCTGCAGGGAGGGTGGTGGGGCCGGTGGGGAGGGTGACCCCCAACCTGTGGGTGCCGCAGTTCGACATGAACGGGGACGGGGAGATCAGCAGCGGGGAGATGCGGGAGGCCATCGCGGCGCTGCTGGGAGAGCAGCTGAAGGCGCAAGAGGTGGACGAGATCCTCCAGGACGTGGACCTCAACGGGGACGGGCGCGTGGACTTTGACGGTGAGGGCCTCCCCGTCCCCTGCAACCCCCTCCTGCCCCATGGCCGGGGGGGGGGGCGCAACACAAAAGAGGGGGCAC